GCTGGATCTTAGAATACGTGCCAAGGCAAAGCTATCGTGGCAATTGGCAGGAAACGGCTGCATTCACAGGGGTTGCAAAACCTGCTTTTGTCAACTGGGGTTTTCCAGCCTTATCTAGAGGACCTCGGACCTGGGTTTCATCAGATCGACATTTACATGGGCCATCTTCCCAATGGTAAAGAGTTAGTGCCCCGAATACAACCGCCGAAGCCTACCCCCACAGTCTTCCAAGTTGATACAATCTTCAGAGTTATCACGACGACGGGAATTCATGCCAGCCTTAGCAACTAGGAAACTTAAAGGCAAACCCATGCCCATAGTTTCGTGTTCGGATTCCTAGTACGGACCCGAGATCCGAAATGACCATGTCGGATACCCTGCGATATGTCAGCGCCCGCCGCACCTGGCAGATGTAGGACCGCAATTCCCGGTCTCTACCCAATCAGATCTTTCGGTTCTACTGACGCTCAAGCCCTATGGCTTCGGCACAATCTACCTGTGACACACTTAGTAGAAGGCACCGAGCAGAACGGCAACGGTGTTTTTGATATCCGCCGTCCAATTCATTTTGCCTGCATGCGGCTTGCCATTGTCTGGGAAATCCTAGCCATAATCCAATTCTCTGATCACTATAATAAATCTAGGCCTAACAAGCCACCGTCTACGGCAACAGCTTTGGTCAGCTGAAGTGAGGTCAAGGACATTAGCATCGACGTAGCCCCTTTTCTCGGTCGGCCGACAGAAAAACGCCACAGGGTAGTACGCGTCCGGACACCCTCCCACTGAGGCACCATCCCGCACAGCGTATTGGATTAATTAGATATCTCAAGTCTTACAATAGCCTGCAACCAATTCCCTATCAAGTTCCATCTATAACAACCCAGGAAGCTTTCAATGCAGCATGCAATGCAACGACGCGTAATGAACGTGGCGATCTATCAAACCGGACAAGATTTTCGCTCCAGTAAGTGAGAAGTAACTATGGAACGACACAAGAGACATGCCACATGTTGGATGCACAGTCTTCAGTATTTTGCTTTCTCTATCGAAAACCAATAACTCAAGTATAGGTAAGATACTATCTTGAAGCCTCAATGACCAAAAAAGCCGCCACTTAATTCTCATTCCAAGTCCGAACTTCTCGCGGGGCTTGGGGGCGGACAGGTCTAAGGGTAAGATCCGGCTCTCAACCGCCGCCCCAAGGTCAGGTAAGCCAAATGAGCAAGAATTGAATGTGGTTATCGTAAAGTAAATGATGTTTGAATTGTACACGAATAGCAAGCTTGAATAGACTGCTCTCACTTAGCTGAATTTGACTCATGGAATTTATACATTCGAGAACGGAGTGAGTCAAGATATCTCAATTCATGCTCCACTGTGTTATACGTCTCTCCATTCTAGCTTCCGCTGACATAAACCCCCTAACACAGGTAAGACACTATTGTATGGGCGTCTTACAGTAGGTAATATATCTTAACTCCGAGCCATCATTCACTTACATATTGAAAGCCATATAACTCAGCATGAAGGTAGAGACTCTACGATAGTATTGTAGGTTTATAGCTACTCTAGGTCAGCGGTATTTTATACTCTCATTTATCAAACTCCCTATCCATCCATCTCACTCTACCTCAAAACCTAAGCCTAGTAACGTAACCAGCCAACTTCCACTCCCATCCTACTTCGCAACCCCATTCGTCTTCTCATCCCCAACAGCAAACGGATCATTCGTCGAATCCGTGTTCCGCACGTACTCCGCGTCGTCCGCCAATTTGCTCGCGACGTCCTCGCCGAACTGGTCCGCGACAAAAGCGTACATCATGTCGATCCCCGCCGAGATGCCGGACGAAGTCCAGAGATTGCCGTCGACCACCCAGCGGGCGCGGGGGACCCAATTCACGCGCGGGCCTTGCGAGATCGCCTTTATATCTCTATTAGCATTGAATAAGAACTTCAGCAGTGAGAAATAAGAGATGCTTACCCAGTCCCAAGACCGCTTATTCGACGTCGCCCGCCGCCCATCCAGAACCCCGGTTCGCGCTACCAGCGCGCTGCCCGTGCATACCGTGAGGAGGTATCGCAGGTGCGGAAACACGCGCTTCACGTACTCCTCGACGTCTGCCACGTTCGCCGGATCACGGGTCCCGAATCCGCCTGGCACGATTAGAACTTCCACGTCCTGAGCCTCCGGGTGAGCGGCTAGCTGCGAGAGAGCGTCCGCGTAGGTGCGTGTCGGGACCACGGATTCCGAGACGCTGTGGCCCGAGGTTGGCGTTGCGGTTGATACGGGGCCTGCGGTTGGGGAGAGGATGGTTAGGGTGAGGGGGTGTTCTCGCGAGAGCGAGTTGAGGATGTCTAGCGGCCCGAAGATGTCGAGGGCTTGGAAGCCCGGGAATAGGGCTGCTGCGAAGCGGGTTGGTGGAGCGGAGGCCGACATGGTTAGCTAGTGAGTTTTGAGATGTATAATCTGTGATGGTGAGTTCGATGGGCTAAGTCATGATACAAAAGGTATGTGAGTAGGTGACAATGCTGCTATATATAATTCAATAACGATGGGGTAATTACATAAGGGCCGATCTGTCGCGACTCCGATCCGAGCCGCCGGCAAGATGTTCGGGGGAAATCTCGCATCCAGCTAGGGCGTAGATGACGTGGAGATCACCAAGGAGTCGTGATCCGGCGTCGGAATCGGGGGTTCGTGCTGAGTAATACGGGTTGCTCTAGCCGGATTAGTGTCTGGTAGCTTGCATGGATCATCAGTCCCAGCAGTCAACTGCTCCCTGCCGTATGGGAAATGAGGGAACTTGCGATGTGCATATTGTCAAAGTCCGATGCCTCTCGGGGCTCTGGTCTTACTTGCCGTTTTGTGGGAAGCGGGCTAATATAGAAGCCGCCGCTGACTATTACACTTCGTGCAACGGCGGCGGTGTATGAGGGATATAGGGTTATGGGTACGCTAATGGCCGTGTTGGCTCGGATTTTGGTATGTAAGTGCCCCTTTTCATATTGTGTCAGAAGTTCAAGCATAGATACTCGGAGGACAAAGCACTGTTGTAAGGATATATATTTTCCTGAGACTTGATGTGTTTGTCTTGGACTCTCTAAACTCATATTTACACCTCAATTCTTCGTCGCTAGCCCACAGAGCAAAAGAGCGAGAAGAGTCCATGCCATCTGCATACCTATTGTAGGTATCATTTTTCTTCGATATAGGCTCTATTTGCCGCCGAAGTAACTTTGGTCAAGGTCGGCCTTGTTCGTGCCAATCTGTATTTGGTACACATAACTGTCAACCAGCACAGTCTCGCCCCCGTATATACCGAACTTAGGGTCGCTCTCGCCCGGAAACATGTTCCCAGTCAGGGTCGTAGACTTAGAAGTGTCAAAAGTCACCGGCTTTCCATCAAGCCAGAGCTTGGCGTGACCGCCATTCGCCTTGGCCAGGATCTCAATACCGATCTTGTACGTCTTCTTAGCCTGGATGTCTTGCGCCCACTGCACCTTGCGGCCTTCCTTCCACTTGAAGGTGTGAGAGAACACTAGCTGGTTCTTCTTGATCTCGAGGGCCAAGGGGATGTTGGCGCCTCCATCTTTGTCGTTGTTGGCCTTGTACTCTTTCCATTGGAAAATCAGGAGACCGTTGGGAAGTTCCTAAAGTCGAAATTTAGCTTATTAGTCGTTGACTTGTTGTTATTGAAATGGTGAAGAGTTGCGATGGCTCTGTGCTTCTGTGTTGTGGGCTTTACCTCGAGCTGAAATTGGTACGAGATGAAATACGTAGTGCCCGACCTGGTCTTGCCACTTAAAGCGTGGTATTCGGCCCTAGGTAGGATATCAGTATCAGTCGGAGTGAAAGCAACAATGTCTATGTTTTGCACACCTTCGGTCACCTGCTTTATGATGGAAATGCAGGGCTGCAACGCCCTTCGGGTCCTTATCTAATTTGATGTATAGATCAGGAGTGTTAGACTTAGGCTTGTCACCCTTAGCTTTCTCTAAATTGAGGTTGCCGAGAATCTTGGGATCGTCGCCGCGTGCGGCACTGAAGTCGACTAGAAGAGGCGACTTCTGGGAAATGTCCTTCGCCGGGATCGGTTCGCTTTGGACCAATTGGACCGAAAGGAAGGAAAAGAGACCGAAAATTACGTGGCGTGATAACATCTTGTCGACGTTGATTTCGAGCAATGAGTATTATTTTCGTATTTTTGTTGCTATTTCTTTTGTTCGGGGAAGGAACTAGTTGAATTTATATTGGGTACTGGGACAGGTGGTCCGCGAGATCACCATCGCGTCTTCGTAGCTTCACATCCTAGAATAATCTAATCGTTTCTCGGCAGGTAAGCAAATTTCGATGCCAAGAGCCATTTTAGTGCTGAGATCTACCTGATTGCTGGCTTCCCCTGCGCGGAACAGTGTATCTCGCGGTATGCCCCTGGATGTGGTCCATGGAGCTTTGACTTAGACTGACGTAAGCTACTATATGGTAATCAGCAGCTACGCCGGAAGCAATGGCATTGCATTCAGCTCCCCTATAGATTCGAATATTCGAAACTTATTTTTAGTTTAAGGCGTTTACTATTACGTTTATATTGAATAGCTAGCGATCGCTGCCTCTGTAAGCATGTAGGGGCGTGCAGAACCATTTGCCTTTTTCACTATATAAGATGCGAAGAGCCTGGACAAGCTCATCCTCGACAAACGAATAAGCAACTGCGACATATCAGCCCTATGATTATATGATTGCTTACCTAAATACTTACCGTGTTCGTTATTGTGCTAAACTGTTTTCGATCAGTGATCTCCTCATAGTAAAAGAAGCCGGTGAGATTATGGAAACGGGTGAAGCATGAATTACACGCCTCCAAAAGTTCAGCCGTATATGGAAACGACCATCACGAGCTAGGTTAACAAGATGAACTCACTATATCTCTGTGAAGGTCGTTGCACAGAAGTGTAAAAAAGTAAGCCATGACCAATAGAAGAGAAATCAAAAAGTGATACACCTGCGCCGGGGTTCGAACCCGGGTTCCCGGTTATCTTAACTATTATAGAGTCGGAGACCGGTGAGTTACCACTACTCCACACAGGCTGTGATTTCTATGATTTAAATGTTGTCACTTCAAGATTCATTTGGCTATTTCAACGAACACTGGTGACAGTCCAAGGAATTCTGCTCAAATTGACTCATCTAACCTATACGAGAGCGTGGCTGTACCATATCATGTCGTCGAAAACAGGCCACTTCTGTTTGGGTTAGTACTATGGTTTGGCGTGGAAGGAGCAACCTGATATATTTGGCACATATGTGGAGGTGCTGCGGCTGGTACAAGCAATTAGGTACCTCTAATTGTCTATACATTAGGATTACTAGTGAATATCGTGGTGAAATGGGTATGGAACTTGTGAAAAGCTGGGTTGGAGGTCATACGCTGTTTCAGGATGCTTGGTTGTTAGAAAATAGGTACGCGTGTCACTGTGTGCATCCTGATTGCTTCCTACCAAATCTTGCCTGGTAGGTACCACCTAGCACCTAGTAAGTAACCGAAAAGGAGAATATTCCTTATCAAAATAATGGACAAAGACCCCTTGCATATATGTCGTATCAAATAATATTTCCTTTGTCTTGATCACTTCACATCAAAGCAATAGCGTAGGAACGGTCCGTTGAACTAGCAAACACTGACCTTGCTACTTTTAGCAAGGGATGCTAGATTTAGTTTGCCTTGTCTAAAGGTATCTAGACATATAACACATTCTAAGGGGTGGATCTTTTTTAGAAATCCTAGCTCAAAGATCAAATAAGAGGCTGACGAGATTCAGTGAAATTTCGTCGGTTATTGCCTTTTCGGTGGGTATATTATCATCAGAATTCCGTTTTGATTAAAATTTGTTATCATAATTACAGTATAAAGCCATGTCTTCAACGATTGCGCGCCCCAAATTACTACCTCGTCGTCCAAGCAGAGTTGTCGTTGCCTTTAATCCAAATGACGATGAGTTACGAGACTCACGAACAAAATGCGCCAAAGCTTGTGCCGAGTACAACTCTCTCAAAGAAACTGTCAGCTCGCTAGAACGGGGCAATAAGTTCAAGAACATTCTCTCACGAAGTGCACTCCATCACGCAGCACCGACAAAAGTACAGGCCCCTTTCCATATCGACTATGGTCTGCGCGTATTCATACACGAAACTGCGTACATTGAACGTAACTGTTCGATCGTTGACACGCCTGTTGCTGATGTCAAAATAGGCAAATACGTCAGTATAGGGCCAAATGTCTCTATCATATCTGCTGCACCCCCTCCTACAAAAATGAACATTGATAATCTAGCTAGAGGACGCCGGGAGCTCCTTGGTGAGCCAGTCACTATCGGTGATGGAGTCTGGATAGGGGCCTCAGCAATAATTGGTCCTGGTATTACCATTGGAGAGGGAGCCGTAGTTTATGCGGGAGCGGTGGTATTGGACAACATACCCGCATATGCTGAAGTACGAGGCAACCCAGCAAAGATTGTTGATACAGACGAAGCTAGGCAGACAGCAGAAAAGGAGGTTGGATTTGATCAGGATAACCCTAGGTTCGTCTACTACGAGGTCCAATAATTTCCGCTTTTCTATACGCTGACCTACTATAGTCTATGGTAGATCTATTCAAATAAGCTATACCATATGTCATAAGGTTTCATGCCAAGGAGTATATTAATTTAACGATAATTGGTTTTGTTCCTAGAAAATCCCTTTCTTACAATAGGGGATGCCGTAAGGTACCTAGGTATCTAGTAGGTAACATTAGATTTCTTAGCATCGAGCTGATAATATATTGACTACTGCTGAACACTATAATGGACCAATAATCTCTTACTCCGACTGCGGATGGGTTTCATTAATATATTTGCCACTTCCTATCAGAGCTTGCCATATGGCATTTGGCACAGTTCTCCAAAATATGCCCTACCTACTCCTAGTGGTTGCGTGTTTAATGTACCAAAACATAGGTATCTATATGTAGTGGCCGTTAGACCACTTGGACACACCGTTCTTAACAAGTTCAAAACCTACCTCCTATATCGCCGCTTCCGAGAGCTCTGTTCGGGTGACTGGTCAAGGGACTGCTATCAGGTATAGTACAAGATATGTGTAAGTAAGTAAGATTTCCCTCTTCGCTCATGAAGAGGCTCAGCTAATTAATCAAGTCACTCATTCACCTCATCCCTTATATTTCAGTAAGCTCAAATGAATGAAGCCCTTGTGGAGGCAGTAAGAGAAAAGGATGATGAGAAAGTCGCATATCTTGTTGATAATGGGGCGAACCTCAATTGGAGCTATGGCTATGCCCTTCGCGTAGCCGCAGGCCAGGGAAACCTTGAAACCGTCAAATTTTTAGTTAAAAGCGGTGCTAGAGTCAATAATGAAAATGGAGAGAGTCAAATCCTTGGCTCAGCAATAATGTCTGGATCCTTTGAAGTCGTGAAGTTCCTTGTTGATGGAGGATCAAACATTAACGCTAAAACCAATGGATATGGACCGTATTTGGACATGGAGTTCGACGCGTATAAAGCGAATCCCCTCTGCACAGCAATATGCTATGGAGAACATGATATCGTTAAATTTCTAATTGACAGAGGGGCAGAATTAAAGGTCATCGGAGCTATGGCTCACCAGGGTCTCGCCCTCCATACGGCGGTAATAGTTCAGGAGAACCCGGAAGTGATCAGAATTCTTATTGAGAAAGGCGAAAACGTTGACACTCGCGACGATTTCCAGCAGACAGCCCTTCACTGCGCCGTAAGGCAAGGATCTCTACCGGCCGTGAAGATCCTTCTTGACTATGGAGCATCCCCAGACGTCAAGGACGACAACGGGACAACACCTTTCGACATTGCTGCCAGCGACGTCGGACAAATTGAAATGCTGGAATTATTGCTCTCCAAGTTGAATTCCCCACCCTCCCTTTCTGCAAGGGACTGGTGCAAGGCCTTAGGTTTGAAAGATACAACCAATCTCAGGTTCCAGTTTAGAACATTTCTGTCGGTTGCTATTCTGCCTTTGCCCCATATCCCGTACTTTGAACCAGAACGCCCGCGATTTTGGTCGACATCTTTCACCAACGAGGGGCTTAGCGCCTTCGCGAAGCCTCCGTACCAAATCTAGTAAGACTTTCTTCGTATCGCTTCCATCAGTAATTATTAAGAAACTTACAGTGACGTCCTTGATGGTTCTATGATAAGACACTTGGATCGTTTCCAATTCAAGAACCGGTGGTGGCGAAAATCAAGTCGATATTATAGACATTAATGACCAATTATGGTGGAATTTGGAAAAGTCTCCACTACCTAGTCTCGACCTCCAAAGAGGATTGAAACACGATGAGTGTAAGTCTTGTTTATTAGACGTCCTATAAAGACGTCCCGAGGATCAATATACCTACGTTGACACTCATTCAGTTTTCATTGAATCATGGTTTGTTGTGTCTTGTTTTGCCATCACTGGCGATGAATGGCCTCGGTCAGAGTATACTACGTTTGAGGATGATAGCAATATTAAGCAACTCGAGGGCTTTTTCTTAGCTATGGCTCTACAGGCTCCTAGGAGTGACGCCCACAACGGCCAAGCAACCTCAGCAGAGAGCCCATGGCGAGTTTTTCGCTCGTTCACTACAGTTCACAGTACCCGAGTTGAACGTGTTAAGAATGTTGAAGACCTAATTATCCCTTTGGTTGATAAAATCAACATTATGTTCGAAAATAATAGCGCTCAGGCGAGTCGGCAATTATCGCGTTCAGTACGTCCCTACGTTAGCCCAGGGTAATTATATCCTATTAATACATGTTACAGCGCCTGGACGTGCTTAGAAACGGTGGAAATAACCGGCAACTACTTCCCGGTCTGCTATTGGACGCTACATTATTGGAACATATGGCCGAAAACTGCGACGATATTGTTCAGTCTTTGACTGAACTGCTTAATAGTGTTCAACGTTTGCGTTGGGGATCTGTAAAAAATAGTAGAGAGAAGGTAAAAAATCTAGAGACGCATAGAGATAAAATGCGTATCTTCTTAGATAGGTCCCAAAACATCATCCAATTGGTAGGTAACTACCTACACATTCAATTCACTATTAACTCATATGAAACTAGTAATGTATGTTAACTTCTGTGTCTAGGAATTCAACCTTACTTCAATCCTCGAATCGCAAAGGTCAACAATTACAAACAAGAGCATGAAACGGCTTACCTGGGTTACTGTTTGTCTCTACCTACCTACCTGAAGATGGTTATAACTACCGCCATTTGACTAATCTGGGTGTTTAGTTCGCGTATCTTCCTCTGATATTTGTCGCTGTAAGTCGTTTCAGCACACCAATCATTGTAGTTTTTGGATTAATCGTTACAATAGAGTCTTTTTGGTATGAATATAGACCTCTTGAGCGATAATCCCAGTTGGTGGTGGTACTTTCCCTTCGCAGGAGGGTTTACGTTCCTCACCTTTGTGATCTGGATTATTTTCAAGAGGTTCCATACAGTATGTTCCCACAACAGCATAGTTAATTTCTCGCTCAAGGCTGACGATGACTAGTTGGAAGGAAATTTGGAGAAATATTTTGCGTGGTTAGTTGGAGAGGAGCCGGAAGCAGACGTTGGTGCTGATCAACCTCATAACGACCAAACCTCAATATCCATGCAGCGACCTGGCTCTTCTTATACAATCTACTGAGAATAGGCACCTAGAACTCCTAATTAGACTGATGACCTGATGATGCAGACGCGCCTCGAGATTTGTGTATGATGGTCCCTTAGGTCCCAGCATGACCCCGCGTAAAGAATTTGAATATTAGTGACCATACAAAGTTTAAAGCGCTCTATATCGAATTACAAACTTAATTATAAGGTATAAAATTGCGACAGACTAGGTAGGTACTATTCGCTCGCTAGCCACCAAACCTTCAAAGCCCCTCTCAATCGCCCCCTCCTGAGTTCCCCTACCTTCTGTTCATTCTTTCGCACAAGAGAAGAGCACTTCATATCACATTTTGATCCTATGGGCCCTTAAACTCAACTAGATTTCCCCTCCATTACTCTAGGGCATGG